TCGGCCCGGGCATTGATTATCATGCCTGGGCACTGAATAAGCATGTCGCGGGCTCTGGTTATCATGCCCGGGCTCTGAGTATCATTCCCCGCCACTGTTTATCATGCCTGTCACTGGTTATCATCCCAGGCAATTGGTTAGCAGGCCCGGGCATTGGTTATCATACCCGGGCACGTTATAATTCCCGGGCAATGGTTATCATGCCCGGCACTGGGTTATCATGCCTGTTCTCTGTTATCATGCCAGGGCATTGGTTTCATGCCCGAGCATTGTTATCAATGCCGCAGGCACTGTTATAGTGCCCGGCGTTGGTATCATGCCCGAGCATTGGTATCAATGCCGACATTAGTTATCATGCCCCGGCCTGTTATGATGCCCGTCAATTTGTTATCATGCCCGGCTCACAGTACCATGCACGGAACTGGTTTATCATGCCGCGGGCATAGGTTATCGTGCCGGCTTTGGTTATCATGCCCGAGGATTGGTTATCATCCCCGGCACTGGTGATTCATGCCCGTTCCTTTTGTTATCAAGCCCGGAAACAGGTTACATTCCGGGCCCTGGTTACATTTCGGGGCCTGCTATCCAATGGCAATGCAATAGTTATCATCCAAGCTCTGTTATCAGACCAGGCAATGTTATCATGCCCAGGCACTGGTTATCAATGCCAATGCAATAGTTATCATGCAAGGCACGTGATTATCCATGCCCGGGCATTAGTTATCATGCAGGGCACTGTATCATGACCAGGCTCTGGTTATCATGCCGTCACTATTTATGATGCCCAGGCACTGTTATCATGGCCAGGCAACTGGTGTCATGCCCGGCCACTGGGTATCAATTTGCACACGCGCACTTGTTATCAGGCCCAGGCACTGTTATGCATGCCCTGGCACTGGTTATCAGCCAGAGCAACTGTATCTGCCCAGGCACTGAGTTATCATGACCGAGCAACTAGTATGATAAAAAAATTTTAATTACTGGGGAAGGGGTGAAGCCTTTGATACTGTATTCCCTGAGGCGGCGAGAGAGATACATGACAATATACACTTGGAAAATGCAGAGGTTTAATACCAAACTGCACACGAAAATCCCTAAAAAGCAAAGTTTCGAATGGAGATGTAAAATTCCCCTGATGAAAGGGAAGGGGGCCAAGAGTACATTGACAGACAACACAGTAAGTGTCGGGGCCCAAGATTTTTCAACTGCCTCCCAGTACATTAAGGGGAATTACCAATAGACCTCTGGCTGTCTTCAAGAAGGCACTGGACGGCACCTAAATCAGTACCGACCAACCGAGCTATGGTTCGTACGCCCAGTTTGGGGTGGGGCCAGCATTAACAGCCTGGTGATCAGACCTGACCCCACGAGATCTGGTTTAAGACGGAGCCGCAGGGGCTTGACCCCCGAATACCCTCTCCAGGTAAACTCCAGGTAAATGTTAAACAGCCTCAAAAGTTTCGCTGGAAGAAAGTCATTAAATTTGTTCAGCCCAACTGTCGCCGTGATCCCGGGACTGAGTATCATAGATAAAATTTGGGCTATCAAAAAATGGATTCTAATTATATAAGCTATAATTGACTCTCGTAATTGCCTACAATTTGAAGTCGGTTTAATTGATCCTAATTGACGGTAATACTTGTCCTCTGTTTTAAATATTGGTCATTTTCCCCGCAAAGTAGTAAGATAAGATTTCGTTCGGATTTTAACCCCGAGGGTTTAGCCACCCAGGATAACCAAGAAAGTCAGTACTCATCGAGGACGGGTCAACTTATTTCCATTGGGGTCCTTAATCTTGTCCCCAGATGCGACCCACACCAGTCACTAACACCCAGGTTATATTTGCTGCTATTAAAACCAGACAACAGGTTTAAGGAACGTTTTCGAATGTTTCCACCGCGGATCGAACCCGGTCCTCCGTGTGTGAACGGGGCTTTAGGCCACCAGGCACGGGATATCAGACAATTAACCTGTTTGAAACATTTATTATACAGTTAGTTAATGGTTCAAAAAGTACATTTTTTGCATCTTAAATTAACTCTTCAAAGAGTTCATAAATTTATCTGTTTGATTACCATATCCAAACGACGGTGTTTAGCATAATTTATTTTCTTCAGGCTCATTATCAAAATTATCTTCTGGAATACGGTGTCTTCCTGGTTGAAAACTGAGAGTAAAAATTATCTAAGAGTCAAGATATTCTGTGTCATAATTGTCCAGAGTTAATTTTGAACCAAATCTATCAACTTTCTTTGTTCTATATGTCTATAAAAAAGATTTAGGGTTTGTTTTTGAACCATTTACCACTTTATTTTCATAGGGGCCGTTTGTTTTCCCTTATAGTTTTTGTTAACCTCTCCATTAAAGTGGGTGTATTGGTCTTTATTTTGCCAAAGAGATTTGAGTCTTTATTTTCCCACCTTCTCGCATTTTTTCTTCTATCTCATTTTTTAATTGAAATCAAGTTAAGGGTTTAGAAAACTGTCAAATTTTATATTTCTCTTCGTTACCTCAGTCTAGTTATACGTGTTCTCTAACATCCAGAGATGACGTGTTTCTCTAACGTCCTAGAGATACAGTGTTTCTCTAACAGTCCAGAGATGACGGGTTTCTCTAACAGTCTAGAGATGACAGTGTTCTCTAACAGTCATAGATGACAGGTGTTCTCAAAACATCCAGAGATGACAGGTTTCTCTAACGTCCAAGTGACGAGGTGTTCTCTAACAGTCCCAAAGATACAGTGTTCTCTAACAGTCCAAGATGACAGGTGTTACTAACAGTCCAGAGTGACAGTGTTCCTCTAACAGTCCAAAGATGACAGTGTTATCAAACATCCAAGATGACAGGTTTCTCAAAACAGTCCAAGATAAAGGGTGTTCTCTAACAGTCCAAGATGACGGTTTCTCTAACGCCAGAATGACAGGTGTTCTCCTAACACCAGAAGACAGGTTTTTTCTCTAACATCCAGAGATGACAGTGTTCTCTAACAGTCCGAGTGACAGGTGTTCCTAACATCCAGAGATTACAGGTGTTCTCTAACAGTCCAAGATGCCCAGGTTTTCTCTAACAGTCCAGAGATGACAGGTTTTTCTCTAACAGTCCAGAGATGACAGGTGTTCTCTAACAGTCCAAGATGACGGGTTTTTCTCTAACAGTCCCAAGATGACAGGTGTTCTCTAACAGTCCAGAGATGACAGGTGTTCTCTAACAGTCCAGAGATGACAGGTGTTCTCTAACAGTCCAGAGATGACAGGTGTTCTCTAACAGTCCAGAGATGACAGGTGTTATCTAAGAGTCCAGAAATGACAGGTGTTCTCTAACAGTCCAGAGATGCAGGTGTTCTCTAACAGTCCAGAGATGACGGGTGGTTCTCTAACATCCAGAGATGACAGGTGTTCTCTAACAGTCCAGAGATGACAAGTGTTCTCTAACAGTCCAGAGATGACAGGTCCAGATGACAGTCCAGAAATGACAGGTGTTCTGTAACAGTCTAGAGATGACAGGTATTCTGTAACAGTCCAGAGAGACAGGGGTGTTCTGAAAACAGTCCTAAAAAATGAGAGGCTTTCTCTAACATCCAGAGATGACAGATGTTCTCTAACCGTCCGGAGATGATAGGTGTTCTCTAACAGTCTAGAGATGACAGGTGTTCTCTAACAGTCCAGAGATGACAGGTGTTCTCTAACCGTCCGGAGATGACAGGTGTTCTCTAACAGTCTAGAGATGACAGGTGTTCTCTAACAGTCCAGAGATGACAGGTGTTCTGTAACAGTACAGAGATAGCAGATGTTCTGTAACAGTTTAGAGATGACAGGTGTACTCTAACAGTCCAGAGATGACAGGTATTCTCTAACAGTCCAGAGATGACAGGTGTTCTCTAACAGTCTCAAGATGACAGGTGTTCTCTAACAGTCCAGAGATGACAGGTGTTCTGTAACAGTACAGAGATGGCAGGTGTTCTATAACAGTCCAGAGATGATAGGTGTTCTGTAACAGTACAGAGATGACAGGTGCTCTCTAACAGTCCAGAGATGACAGGTGTTCTGCAACAGTATAGAGTTGGCAGGTGTTCTCTAACAGTCCAGAGATGACAGGTGTTCTCTAACAGTCCAGAGATGACTAGTGTTCCGTAACAGTATAGAGATGACAGGTGTTCTGTAACAGTTTAGAGATGACAGGTGTACTCTAACAGTCCAGAGATGACAGGTGTTCTCTAACAGTCCAGAGATGACAGGTATTCTCTAACAGTCCAGAGATGACAGGTGTTCTCTAACAGTCTCAAGATGACAGGTGTTCTCTAACAGTCCAGAGATGACAGGTATTCTCTAACAGTCCAGAGATTACAGGTGTTCTGTAACAGTATAGAGATGGCAGGTGTTCTCTAACAGTCCAGAGGTGACAGGTGTTCTGTAACAGTACAGAGATGGCAGGTGTTCTCTAACAGTCCAGAGATGACAGTTGTTCTCTAACAGTCCAGAGATGACAGGTGTTCTGTAACAGTACTGAGATGACAGGTGTTCTCTAACAGTCTAGAGATGACAAGTGTTCTCTAACAGTCCACAGATGACAAGTGTTCTCTAACAGTCCTGAGATGACAGGTGTTCTCTAACAGTCCAGAGATGACAGGTGTTCTGTAACAGTACAGAGATGGCAGGTGTTCTCTAACAGTCCAGAGATGACAGGTGTTCTCTAACAGTCCAGAGATGACAGGTGTTCTCTAACAGTCCAGCGATGACAGGTGTTCTCTAACTGTCCAATGATGACAGGTGTTCTCTAAGCCCATTGTAATCTGCTAAGCAAAAATCTGGGACTGTTACTGAATTATCCCTTCCATTCAGTACTAAAGGCAATCGATTTGTGATGCCCCACCTTACGTTTGGCCGCTACAGGTTTCCAATCCTAACTGCGTGAACCCAATCACATTCTTCTTCTGCCGCTTCGTTATTTAGGTATTCAATTTCCTAACCACTCCAAGGCTATAGAAATATTTGCTAACATACCTTTGACTCAACTGCGCATTTTACTTCCAGTTGTAACCTCGTGTACGTGAGACCAGACTCAAAGCGGCTCTCCATGTCCACCCTGCTAATTCCTCTCAGTAGTTTGTACGTCATAATCATATCAACTCTGGTCATTCTATCCTCTAAACTCTCCTCATAGGTAATATTCCTCAGCTATGGGACTAGTTTCGTTGAACACTTTTGCGCTTTTCCAGCATTTTTACATGCTTAGCCAACATTCATGGTGTATACTTCAAGACCGGCCTGACATATGCAGTGTACAAGGTTGTGAATTCCTCATTGTTGATGCTTTTGAAGCTTCCGTTAATATATTTGTCACTCTCGCACTTACCTCAACACTTACTCTGTTTCACATGAATGGTAAACAATATCGACAAGACGAGAATTAGAATCTTGGTTCAGAGGACATCTTCACAATCTTCTTCACTTCTACTAACCCGTCTCTTGGGTATGACCTACTTCCACTGGGGAATCCCGCCTACAAGTGACAATGCCTTCGTCTGCTACCCGTCCCTTCTCACCTGACGCCAGTATATAAGCGGCAGCCTTCTTGCCTGTGCAAGAGGGCTGCACACAACTTTCAGTGTGTAGTCACAGTAGCTCCTACTCTCGACATCACAGTCTCGCTACGATTCCCGTTGGGGAGGGAAACCTCTACCTGTTCGATGTTCGCACATCGTGTTAAAATCAAACCAGCCAGTGGTGTTATAAATGATTCCACTAAACTATCACTTGCTGCCGCTATAAGAACCTGTCTACATCTTAAATTCACAGCGATTCAATCACTCAAGACTCCTTTATTCTCGTCCCGCACCGGCGACAATGAAGCAGCTAAACTAATGGACGACACTGCAATTAATACTTTGCGAGACCGACAATTCCACATATCACCATCTTCCTCCTTGCTGGCGAAACGTTCAGTTTTTGTTAAACATTTGGATAAAATAATCAGAACCTACCAACGGGTGAAAATGAAGACCTCTATCGAAGAACAGAACACCTGGGCCTCTGTAGACACCATCACACGAATTCCCAATGTCTCATCTATGATCAAAATCACCTTTTCAAACATAGATATGGCTACCCAAGCGCTCTCTAATGAACTAGCAATCTCATATTACCACATGCATAAAGCCACTGGATGGCGAAACGTCTACATTAAAGACACCCAGATGTTGCACATGTGTCTAATTTCAACTTTTTCGGGTTTATGGGAACTTCAAGTGAAATGCTAGCAATGCTAACCCTCGCAGCTCTTGTGTACTGAACCTGTACAATGTCTACAAAAAGCCTTGTATTTCTCTAATTTTCATAAAGCTGTATTTGCCGAGGTTAAATTCCAGTAGCCACTTGTAAGGCGATTTCTGCAACTTATTTTTTATTTTATTATCACACCGGCCGATTCCCACCAAGGCAGGGTGGCCCGAAAAAGAAAAACTTTCACCATCATTCACTCCATCACTGTCTTGCCAGAAGGGTGCTTTACACTACAGTGTAACTTGTCCGGTTTTATTTCTATCCATTTCTGGTTTGGTTCTGTTTTAATTTTAATCATTAGTTTCACATGATCTGCCAACAGTAACAACTCACTTGATAGCTTCTGCTATGTTATTCACAAACACAAGAAACAGTACTGGTCCAAGTACCGACCCTAGTAGAACCTAACTCGCCACAGTTGCTGCCATACTCTGGTGTTTGTAAATCTTGATTCTAGTGCCTCTAGTGGCTCTAGATTCAGGTCTCTATAGATCTAGATTGAGGTGTCTATAGGTCTAGATTCAGACATCTAGAGATCTTGTTTCAGGCGTCTATAGATCAAGATTATGGCGCAAATAGATCTAGATTCAAACTTCTATACAGTAGATTGTGATTTATTCAGGTTAAGGTGTCTATGCAATCAGATTCATTCATCTATACAGATTAATGCGTCTATAAATCCAGATTCAGGCGTCTATAGATCCGCATTTTTCACCCCATGTTTCATCCCATGTCTCACCCCGTGTTTCACCCCCATGACTTAAGAAATCGTAATGACACGATTGCAAATAAACCATACCCCCGGCCGGGATTGAACCCGCGGTCATAGAGTCTCAAAACTCCAGCCCGTCGCGCTAGCCACTAGACCAGCTAGCCACAATAAGATTCATCCAACTAGGTATATTTCTACACCATAGGAAGGTTAGCACAGGCACCTCTGTGACCACAAATGCATTTGTGGTCACAGAGGTGCCTGTGCTAACTTTCCTATGGTGTAGAAATATACCTAGTTGGATGAATCTTATTGTGGCTAGCTGGTCTAGTGGCTAGCGCGACGGGCTGGAGTTTTGAGACTCTATGACCGCGGGTTCAATCCCGGCCGGGGGTATGGTTTCACCCCCATGTTTCACCCTATGTTTCACCCCATGTTTCACTCTCCTGTTTCACCTCATGTTTCACCCCCATGTTTCACCCTATGTTTCACCCCATGTTTCAGTCCTGTTTCACCCCATGTTTCACTCTCCTGTTTCACCCCATGTTTCACTCTCCTGTTTCACCCTATGTTTCGCCCCTATGTTTCACTCCCGTGCTTCACCCATATGTTTCACAACCATGTTTCACCCCATGTTTCGCCCCCATTTTGATTTCCCCCCATAAACGGGGGTTGCAGCAATACTCTGGCAGTCAACCCTGAGAGGTTACCTGGGAAGGTTGTTTGTGTGACTGAGACGTGACACACCTGTCAGCTTACTGATTATACACTAATGTCTTGGAATGTTGTATATGCTTACTTCTCTCTCTCTCTCTCTCTCTCTCTCTCTCTCTCTCTCTCTCTCTCTCTCTCTCTCTCTCTCTCTCTCTCTCTCTCTCTCTCTCTCTCTCTCGCTCTATGTCTTTGCTATTAAGACATATAGAAAGAGTTACTTTCAGAACACTTGTTCTGGTTCAGCACTTCGTTATTACATAAAAAAAGTGTGTTCCTTTATTGAGAAAGTTGATAATGATGTGAGAAAGTTACTAATGATGTGAGAAAGTTACTAATGATGTGAGAAAGTTACTAATGATGTGAGAAAGTTACTAATGATGTGAGAAAGTTACTAATGATGTGAGAAAGTTACTAATGATGTGAGAAAGTTACTAATGTGAGAAAGTTACTAATGATGTGAGATAGCAGACAGGTCATTTTCTCTCAACTATCGCTACATTAGTTTGATAATATTGTAAAGTAATCTAATGAAAATTACAATTATAATGACATATCGCTTCATCATGGACTATTGTCAAGACATAACTGACATGACGTTCCTCCCGGACGCTTCGACTTAAGGTTCCTCTCCTAAGTGTGTTTTATTTTTTTTTTAAGAGCGTCGGAAAGGAGAGACGTGACTGGTGGGGTCCCACAAAGATTAGTCCTTGACCTAGTCTTGTGTCTAACATATTTATCTAGGCACAGGTCTTACAGGGATCATTTGAATGATCGTCAGTGACATGACATTATTGAGGAGGTGGTTCATCCGTGACATGAGGAAGGTGCATAAGGTACGTTGTTCAACACCTGACATTAGGAAGGTGCATAATGTACGTTGTTCAACACCTGACATGAGGAAGGTGCATAAGGTACGTTGTTCCACACCTGACATGAGGAAGGTGCATAATGTACGTTTGTTCCACACCTGACATGAGGAAGGTGCATAAGGTACGTTGTTCCACACCTGACATGAGGAAGGTGCATAATGTACGTTGTTCCACACCTGACATGAGGAAGGTGCATAAGGTACGTTGTTCCACACCTGACATGAGGAAGGTGCATAATGTACGTTGTTCAACACCTGACATGAGGAAGGTGCATAAGGTACGTTGTTCCACACCTGACATGAGGAAGGTGCATAATGTACGTTGTTCAACACCTGACATGAGGAGGTGCATAATGTACGTTGTTCCACACCTGACATGAGGAAGGTGCATAATGTCGTTGTTCCACACCTGACATGAGGAAGTGCATAAGGTACGTACTGTCAGTCCCTAACACATT